TCTGACACTTTGATCCTTGTGACCCTTGGACCGACTTTCCCCCCGGAAAAATCCTAGATCCGACACTTTGGCCTCCGGTGAAAAATTTTTTTTTTCATTTTTCACTTTTTCCACATACTTTTGATAGTTCTGAATAGCCCGTCGCTTAAATAGTTGGAATCAACGTTCACCCGGCTAAAAAATTCGATTTTGGCGAAAATCCACTTGCCCCGGAAAACCCGAAAATCTGACCCTTTGGCTGGGGCCAAAAAAAACGGTTTCTCAGTTTTCACTTTTTCCACATACTTTTGACAGTTCTGACTAGCCCGGCGCTTAAATAGTTGGAATCAACGTTCACCCGGCTAAAAAATTCGATTTTGGCGAAAATCCACTTGCCCCGGAAAACCCGAAAATCTGACCCTTTGGTTGGGGGCAAAAAAAACGGTTTTTCAGTTTTCACTTTTTCCACATACTTTTGATAGTTCTGACTAGCCCGGCGCTTAAATAGTTGGAATCAACGTTCACCCGGCTAAAAAATTCGATTTTGGCAAAAAATCCAAGATCTGACACTTTGACCCTTGTGACCCTTTGACCGACTTTCCCCCTGAAAAATCCGAGATGTTACATTTGAGTACTTACCGCCTCCAACTCAAGAGAAAAACTGTAGGTCTCCTTCTGTTCATGGAAACTTCAGCTAAAAACAGAAAACTTGAAAATGCTCGTGCAATGAGACCCTTATACCCGGGTCCTACCACCTGAAGACTGTCGTAGCCATACGCAAAGGTAAAAGGACACTTCACGTTGAGCCGTCAGTGTGGACGCATCAAAAGATTCAATCTATCCAAAATTTAAATTAATTGCTCGGTGTCGGTAAATACTCAAGTGAATCAACCTCAATTCAACTCAAATTTATATCAAACATTTATTCCGCGTCATTGTATTCCGAACTATTATTGTTACTAAATCAATTTATCGTGCTAGTTTTCACTGGAAATCCATATCCTCGTCCTTTTTATCAAATAATGCCTCAAATTACATTAAAAACAACTAAAGAATAAGAACAAACTCAAATCAAATTCAAATAATAAATCCAATTGAAAATAATATAAATCTTGAATTAAACCAAGCTATTAATCACAAAACCAAGAATGAATCTTTCAATTCCTTCCAAATTAATAATAAATAAACAATCATCTCATATTAGTCGTAAATTTTCCCGAGCGGGAGTATCGCCTGTTCGACACAATTACCATT